ATGGGAAGGAACAACTCAACAGATCCAAACCAAGTCACGAATACAGTAGTTTGCTGCTGCTGCTGCTCTCTCCATACAGTTACAACCTCCCAACCGTGACAAAGCCTCCTTACAGCCAAGGGTCACCTGCACATTTTAAAGCACCATTCAGGGTGGGCGTCTATATACTGTCCTTCCATGTCCTCCCCTGATGCCTGTGATATCTTATATCATATAAATATATTTAAATAAATATATATATATGTACATCCCCCTTGACTCGCGCTTTGACTTTGAGACAGCCGCAAACACCAGGGTCACCAGCGCATGACCACCTCCCAGCCTGCTGCAGGAAACTCTTAGGCAAATGTCATCATGTCTCCTCCCCTTGGGCCTTGGGCGACCGATCAGCACTCGTCCTCCGCAAAGGGGTCGCCCGTGGGCACATCGAGCTTGGCGCAAAGGCGCGTGACGAGCTGCACGAGGTGGCTCGTCTTCAGACGAATGGCGATGATGTCCTCGGAGACACTGGGTCTCCCCGGTGGTGGAGTGGTTTGGACTTGGAAGTGGATCAGCACTGGGAGGTGGGGTCAATCAAATTCAATCAACCTACTTCGTATATACAGTAAAATCCAACAAAAGGAATTGGATGACTCACCTTGTTTGCCAGTCCGTCTGGGCCTCGCGTGCACTCGAGATCCTGGGATCCTTTGTAGGCTGACCTGCTGAAAAAGCACCACCGAATCAAGACTTGAACGCCCAGCGTGGAACATCTCTCATTTCTCTCAAGTCCGTCTCCCTTCCTTGCTCCCTGTCTATCTGTCTCTGTCTGTCTACTGTATCTATCTGTGTGTGTGCGCCAGCTCTGAGTGCAGCACCCAGGAAAGTCGAGTCAACCATTTGGAGGATTGCAGTGTCTACTGGGGAGTGGAATTGGGTCACTAAATCACTGACCATTAGTATAAACATCACCTTGGCATCTCCAGATTGCAGACCCCGTTATCTCACAGTGCGCTGGGCTTGCAACTAGATGTCTCACTGTCACAATCTATAAGCAATCTTTTATGTCTGGGTCTGCCCTCCAAAGGTCCAAGGCTTAGACCCTCCAACCCGGCTCACAAATCTCAAGAGTTGCTGCAACAGGTGTGTAGGAATACAAGCGACTCGAAGTGAACTCCCACACCACCAAATAACCGAAGTGACAACAAATAACCTTCCGAACAAAGAACCACTCTCGTAGTCCTTCGGAAGGTTATTTGTAGGAAGGTTATAACCTACTTCCGAACGCCAAGCCGCAGTCTTCGAAGCTGGACCACGGCCTGGGCAACGAGGACCACGGGTGGCATACCGTGCTTTCTTCTGTCAGGGTGTCTCACACGACGCTAGCGGAGCATGGTTCTCGCCTACGAGGGGAGGAAGAACATGGACGCCACATGCAACATGATGTACACAATCGAATGTTTGACTGTTGACTGGGGTCTTTGCTATTGCCTCATGCCCAACGGCTGGGTCTTTGCATGTCTTTGCTACTGCTCTTGACTCTTGACTGTGATTTGCTGGTCGACTGGTGCAGCCAATTCATGGGAACAGGAGGACTTGCAGCGGCGACTTTGTCTTTGGCGGGGTCATGTCGAGCTCGTGGCTCGCCAGTTGGCAGGTCGTTGAGACTTCAACCCAATCACTTCAACTGCGTTGCTTCCATCAACTGAGACGACCTTCCTTATGTTAGATCTTCTCAGCCAATCACGCTTCTCACATCCTAACTAGTAGCATCTCCAGTTCCCCAACAATTCAGCTCCAAGCATGTTCGATCATTCCGCAGCCACACGTCACACATGTCACACATGGTCAGCCAAGCGTCATTTCAGCAAGCCGTCAATCCTCGGAAATGGGTAGCTGCACAGTCACTAAGGCTCAACACCAAAATGTCCTCCAATTTGGATGAATCCTTTGATGGTAAGTCGTCTTTAGTTGTCCTTCCACCTTCATTGTGATGCTTCTTGAAGCAATGAATTTGCTGAATGAGTGTCAACCGCAATTGGACGTTCCATCAGTTACAGGAATAAACACTACATAGGATGCACGAGCAAACGAGCCTGCTGCGTGCTTAACAAACGTTGTTGTACCAGTTGCACCCACACCACAACAAAGCAAGTCACTACGCAAGACTTCATAGACTACTTCTACCAAACTGGTCTTCCATATCAATGCCCGTGACAGTGTGTTTGCCTGCGTAGTAAGTGCGTGTATCTGCAATCTGCTGTGGCACTTAAATGTACTCTGCACCAAACATGTCTAAACCAACGAACCAGCTCCGAAAAGCGCAAGAAATCAACACCTTGCCAATCATCTGCTGGCAGCTCTGGCAATCTACAGGACAAAGAAAAAAAAACACGCAAATTGTGTTTTAAACAAATTAGCTATATATATAAGCCAAACAAGGAATGTGGTTTTCCGAGTCTCCAATTCGCCTGGACCCCTCACGGACGAGCCGTGACGACCCGAACAGGTGTCTTTTCCTCTTCGGATGGCTTCGGCCCACCAAGCGGCATCTCTTCGAATTCAAGCACACCACTCAAATCGGCATCCAGCACATCCTCAAAGAGCGGTGAGGATGGGACTCTTGGAAGCAAAACGAAGTGCGATCAACACCAGGAAGTTAGGATAAGCCTTAGGGTAAGTTAGGTGGGCCTCTCTGTTGTTCCGGTACTGGCAATGTAATTACTGTATCTGGTTGGTGTCCTCTTCTTCATTTCACTGAGTTGAAGGTATCGGTCAGCGCCCATTTTGAGTGTACACGGCCGTTGATCAGTGGTCATGTCATCGCGCTAGGAGAAAGGCAAAGTGGTTGCAACTGCGAGGTGTGTCCACCCAGGTGTTGATGCTGGATGTCGAGGCCGTGTCTCTTCCCTCAGAAGCCCAGGAGAGAAGGGGCACCAGGCAGCCATGCGTCTTCAACGCGTACAAATCGCTCAAGGTCATCTGACGTGGACATGTGCACCAGGGGGAAATGGATGGGGACACCACAGCATGCAAAAGGCAACACCTGAACCGAGTAATAGATCGGGAAACATACCGCTACCCATGAAAGGTTTAGGACCACGAGATAGTGACTTAGTGGCTGATAAGACATGATAAGACCAGTGCTTGAATATGCTTGACACTTCCATTTCGTGACCCCTTTTTGCCTATATAGACAAAAGACTGCGAGTCACTCAGTCTAATCCGACAATCGGCCAACCGCCGACCCGCAGACCGATCGTCAGGAACTCCACGGATCGGGTGCCACGGACGGAGCTGTTTGAAACTGAGCACCTGATAGATGTCGATAGAAAGCACTAAACCAGTGAGCAAGGAATGGTGAGCACTCCCCGTCGTCGTCGCCAAGGGACAAAGAGATCAGATTTGCAGGAGAGGTCAATCTCCGCATCCTTGGCCCGTCGCCAAGGGTGAAACAAATTGAAACATTGTACAACAAGCTACTAGCAACAAGAAGCTAGTAGGGTGGAGGCCACCGCTACTAGGCTGGAGGCCGTCGTTACTAGTAGCAAGGACGCTACTAGTAGCTAAGGGTGAACCAGGAATTTCGCATGTTGTCACTTTGTGGATTTTCACATTCGGCCAAATGTTCCCTCAAAAAATATGTGGGGGACCGAGGGAACATAAGAAGTCCACCGTCACTTATGTCACCATCAGAGATGCTCATCTTTGGTCACATGCATACATCCAGACTGAGGGAACTGACATCAAATAAATGTGGCTTATTCAGAAGCAAACAAGCATTTGTACAATGTGTCACTGTTCAGTCGAGTCTTCATGAATCTGTGACATATCATCGTCATTCATAGATATGAACGAAGTGTGTCTATACGTGTCTATGAAGTTTGGACTAGCGGCTAGCGCCACAATATGTATGTGTGTTTGTGTGTTTTGTGTTCTTGCTTTCCCAGAAACATCAACTAAGAAGGCCACTAATTTAAGCATGGTTGATCCAATGGCTGCCGAGCAAAGAGTGCCAAAAGAGTTAAAAGGAACAACACCGAAGCACTCATCGAGCCCAGAAGCATTCAACGTCTCCAGTAGTTCCCTTTCCGTCGAGAGCCAATGATTGAACTCCTCGGTGTGCGAGGAGAACGAATGGCGCCGCGGTTAATCCGCATGCCGGCGAGTTCAAACGAATGCGGCAGCTTGTGCCACTCATTCATCACATGAGCTAGCTAGGGTCCATGTAAACCACCAAGTTTGGGGATCGTGCCATCTACCCATGAGCTAGTTAGGTGCCGTAATGAACTTCAACTAATAAACATCTAGTTCCGCCATTTGCCGTTTCACTGCCGTTCCGCCAGGTGCAGACGGCGGAACAGCACACGACGTTCACCATCCAGGACTCCCAAAAAATCCTCGAATGAGGTACAAATGGGATCTAGAGATCCCTAGGAGGCGCAACAAATCACCCAGAAACGCTTTTTACCTCTTGACCCATGACGAGACCGGCAGCGTTGCGACGAGGAAACCGAGACCGGCTGTTGTGCCGAAGCGTCTGCTCGAGAGACCTGGACATTAGTGTTTGCCATCTCCTTGCGGATCTGTTGCGTGAGCTCATCATACTCCTGAACCTTGGACGTGAGCCCTCGAAAGCACCAGTTGGCTTGAAATGGCTCAGTGACACGTCTGGCTGGGCACTGGCAATCGGTATGCCCACCAAATGAAACAATGAAAAGAGCACATCACTGATCATCACTGTTTGTCTATGTTTGTGAGACCCTCATAAGCAAAGGGAAATAGACTGTGGTGGCCCTGAATGAAGCACAAGGACGCGGACCATTCACTCAAACACATCCTTGCCAAATACAATCTTGCAACATGCAATCGGTTCTAATAACTGCCAACACTTTCTAGCACCAAACAAATGAATTCAATATAACTAATTGTGTAAAAATTGTGCCCCCCCAAAAAGCACACACAAAACACCACTCATACCCGGCAAAATAACAGCGCAAACGCCTCACCACAATTGCAAACCATAAGGCCGACATGGGTGTGTGACTGGGTGTGCGATATTGATGATCTAGCTAGACTTCCTAAGGGTGAATTAATGACTCATTAGAGGTTAAAGGTTCTCTATTCACCAACCCTTGTGGCTCCTGCTGTGTATAATTGCATATATATCTATAAGTATGTATATATACACATTCTATATATACATGTATGAGCTCTGCCCCTTTGGGTCAGAAAAAAGGGCGGATAGGTCCCGGCCCTGGCTGTCGCATCGCGCCGGAATGATGGCACCAAAATAAGACTCTAAGAAGAGTCACTTCTACTGAGAAAGGACTGGACTCGTCTTTGGTGAATATCCAAGAGACAGTGTGGGGCTTGTAGCCATACCTCTCCTGTAGCGCTAAGAGCTTCTCCTGTTTCACGCAGGTGGCGAATCGCTTTTTTCCGGGCTTGAATGATGTTCTTCTGCAATGAGAGACTCCAAAGCCTTTGTCCTCTGGTTGGGTTTCCTGATCTTGGGTTCATGCAGCCGGCACATGCCCGTAACAAGCCGCGTACATGCCTAGGCTCTAGACTCTATAACTAATTGGGTGGTTTATCAGGATGTCGATCCAAAGTGGCAAAGGCTTGTCAGGCTTATCTGTTTGTGTCATCTGCTCTGAAGTAAGTACTCTGAAGCAATTCAATTATGGGACCCCATCAAACAAACCAATGCCGGCGCTGCCAGTGCCTACAGTGCCATCGGGTGTGGACACCTTGTTCTCCAGGGACTCCAGTTTCCAAAATGGGTGTGATTCAGCCTACTGTCAAAATCACAATAGTGAAACTCCTAGCGCACATGACATGATCATTCTTGTTTCGCCTACCCCTCCTCCTTAACTAATTACAGGCTCAACATGGTTCAACCCATCGTTGATATTTTCCCCAGCACCGCCGGGCAACAACAACACACCTCCCATACTATATAGCGTTGCTAGTGTGATTTCAGCAGTGGGTGAGAGGCAAAAGCACGGAGCATGGGGCAAATATTGAGGTCTTTTTGCTGATTGCAAGATGGGACAAATGCTATGACAGGCCATTAACTATAGGAAACGATCAGCCGACCCCGTAGAAAGATTCGTCAAGCACATGTAACCACCAAGGGTGCCCCGAATAACTCTTTCACATCACTCCATTCTCGTTGCTCTGTCAACTCTCATCGCCGGTCACTAGAAAACTAGCCAAGCTCGCGCACCATCAAGGAATCTCTGTCAAAAAATGTATATATATATAATTAATTGTATTATATTGTTCTGATCGATCTGCCGCCCGAAGCAAACGCGACATAAAACAGCAAAAAGACACCATCGATCACACATTTAGTCCAGCAAGATGACCATTTCTTCCAGTACTCCCCCCTCCAATCATGGAAGTAGAGAACACCCTCTGCCCCTCTGTGAAGAAGCAGTCTTTCTTTCGGGGCCCGAGTCGCCGCCCACCAGGCCGCGCCTTGTAGATCTTCGACGATCTCCGGGCGCCCGAGGGTCTGGGGGTATGCTCGCCGCCTTAGGCGGTGGTTCTTCGAGGGAACGAGGTTGGAAGGTCCAACGGCGGCCGAAGAAGCGTAGCAACCGCTACTTGCGTAGCTCCAGGCATCGCTACGCACGTCACAAAGGGCATTGCGGCATCAAAGGGAGCTCCAGGGCACTATCGTTTATCATTGATAATTCCCATTTATTCCTGTGGAGTGATGTAACGAAAAAGATACGGCACAGTATTGCACAGTCTTCCAAATAGGCAATGAATGTCATGGACATGTGGTGTGTCCTAGCTCATCCCCTTCACTGCAAGCGGGGGATTGAAGCTGGGTCCGCCGGATCCGGCACATGGGGATGCGTCCACGGTCCGAACTGGCCAACAAGCAGTCCTTCTTGAATGCAAACCCAAACCCCTCAACCCCCCGACCAGGCCCCGGCTCATTTCTCTCTGGAGCAGCTCCTGCAACGTGTTGCGTCGGGAGCAGCTCTCATCACTCACAGGGCGCTCAACACATCTGGCGATGGATGGATGGACAACTCATCTGCGGTTTCCTGGCGGTTCCCCAAAAGCTCCTCTTCTGCAGCGGCCTCATCTTCCGCTTCTCTTCTCAGCATTTGGCTCCTTTGCAAATCAATCGCAGTGCAAAGAAGCACTTGGAGTTGGTTCAGCATCTCATCATCCTAGTTTTTTTGCTAAATTGAATTAGCCATACAATCGCAACTCCAAAGCTGGCCTCCCCTGTCAACTGCTTTGTGGGCATGCCAGACGATCCAACATTCACTTGGATTTCTGTGAAAGGATCTGGAACAAGCCGTGGACCACTTGAATACAATGTACATCAATGTTCTGATGTAGATGTAGATCTCAAATGATCTCAATTCAAGCAATCCCGCCCAGGATGCGTGAAGTGGCGTATATCCTTGTACATCCATAGGTGAATCAAGAAACATGCGAAGGTCTCAAGGATCCACCCAAATATATAACAAAAAAACAAACAAAACAAACAAACAAACACACACACAAAACAACAAATATACTTTTAAGAAAACACGTGGCAATGCATGGCATGTCTCGAGGTACCTTTTGAAGCATAGGCGTATTTTCGGGCATGGTGTGCTCACGGCATCCCTGGTGTCTTCTCCCTCTCACCCCCCAGACGGCATCTCATGGCAACCGAGGTGCAAGATCAAATCTCTTAAAACCTCGGTGTTGACGAACGTCCGCGTCGTCGGCGTGAAGACGCACGAGATCCCCGGTGTCGGACTGTCATTTGTTTGGGTTTTCGGTGTGAAACTGACCGAACACAACGACCGAGCACAACGACCGGTGGGGTGGGCCCCGTATCCCGCACATCAACCAACCAGGGATATGTTTAAGGCTCTAATGCCGGTGTGGCGATATGGACAGGACAGGGTCGGCCTGGTGAGGTCAAGCCGAGGATCTTTTTCACCGAGCTGTAGGACGAGCAACATGGACGAGGAATAACATGAAGTATATATTTAATATATTATGTATATGTATATATATATATATAATATATATATATATATATATTCTAGAGCCCAGTCAATTCCAGTGTTCCAGCAAACCCACCTTCCAGAACTGGAGAGGTGTACCAGTGTACCCTTAACCTGCGATCCATGTCCAGTGACTAGTGCCTTATATACACAACAAATGGATACACATGGCATCACATCTGTCTGTCAATGTCTTTATCCCTTCTACAAGTGTGTGGAAGATGATCCCTTATAAGAGTCAAGTAGGATGATATTGTTCCTTCAACAATGCAAACATGTCATTTTCAGCATGTTTCAGGCATCGTTGCGACGTTTCTCTTTGTTCTCTCTCTTTTGGGACCGTGAGCCGTCCCCCCCTTGAGGTGTTGCCGTCCCCGCTTTCAAGGACCCCAGCCCTTCGCCGAGGCGGACCCACGCCCGGCGCCGTCTCATCCCAGGCGCCGACGAAAGGACCCACGCCGTGCGCGGAGCATTGGCGCCCAGCTCTCGCTGCCTGGCAACAAGAAGTAGTGGCAGCACGGGGGTGAAAAAGGCAGGCCCAAAGCAAACACAAACTTCTTGGGCTTGCAGAAGCAAGCAGCTTCATGAACGGAATGACATGCTTCATCGAGCTGGGATGAAATCTTTTGGGAGGTTCTGGCATGTTCCCGGGTATGTCTGATGTCCCAAATTTTTGGGCAACAAATTGACATCAAATAGATGGACGGCGACAAGTGAACTGATTCACCAACCCTAAAGCTCCTCCACCATGCCTGGTGAGAAGAAATCTTCTAAAACACTTCCTGCACTCTTCCATTCTTCCACGGGTGCCAGCACTCGCCTCTTCTTGGTGCTGCCATCTGTGACGTTGTCAATAAAAACCTCAGCTGAAGAAGTGTGTGTGTGTGTGCGTGTCAGCGGTCTGGACAAAGGCTCTCTGTAGGCAAAGTCGCGACCAAGCACATGCAGGTTTAAAAGCTCGAACTGTTCAAATGTAGCTGTGGGTCAATACTGCGAGACCGACCGTTTGACCACCGATTTCATGAACGGAATAAACGACTGGTAGACCCAGTCAACCCACCAGGGTGACAGGGGCTCCAGGTTGAACGACCCACAAACAATATCATTTAATGTTCACCCCCCGAGTAAGTACGCGTCAATGATTCCATGATCATCAAGCCTTACGTGGACTAAAAACTGAACATCAGCAAAAACACACCAATGCGGCATGCGAATGCTTGCGGCCACCCACAAGGATTTCGATCAGTTGCCTCTCCTTGTTGCACCCACAGTGTGGTCGCCCCTACTTGCTGCTTGCTAGCTGCTAGGCTGAATCCTTTCAACTTGCTACAGCATAACGGCATGGAAACCTTAGTCACGCTAGTCCTGATGTTCACTGGCTGCGAGCAAATCCGCACTGGTGACTTGGCCGACTTCTCTGTGACTTGGTGCAGAGAAGAACCATCCAAGCTTAGAGTTTCCAAACAAAACATGCCACGCAAAAAAAAGCGCACAAAAAACAACAACGAGACCATCATGACTCAAACTGAGCAAATTTCTTATGTAAATTGTTCATTGAACATTGAAAGTCGTTGGCACATGAGTCGGAATGTGTAAGCTTGCGAAGGTCTGGTACTCCTATATACACCCTTTCCCCAGGATTGTTCCAGCACCTGCCAACAAAGATCGACAAAGGCAGAATCGGACCCTCTGCCGACTCTGCTCAGTCTAGGCTTCCGATCTTCCAAGGCTTCGGGGGCATAGAAGTACAGTTGTATTTACATATATAATTACTTTGAGATTGAAGTTTCCTCAATTGCTACAGAAGATTGTGACAAGTCTGCCAAACATCACCAAGCCACATCTGCTCTCCCCTTTTTCAAGACCAAGCTGCGGCCATGATGAGATTGAACATTCCGATCGTCACAAATAAAAACCTTTGCGGCCGCAGTGATTGCCAAAGGAATCTTGGGCTCTGTGGAAGCAAGGGGAACACGTTTATATATATAGACATGTTTAGGCCCACTGCCAGGAACGACCAGCAACATCAACAACAAAGTTATCTTGCTGTTTGCATGTTTCATGCGTTCCAGGATGTTCCAGGACGGATTCCTGATGGCGTCTCATGCCTGCCAGTCAAGAGTTGTAGCTTTTGCTCACCCATTTCCTTCCTGTGATTCCAATGATGCATCCAGTTGCCATTCTAGTAGGTAGAGGCCAAAGACATCAGATCGAAGAAAATTATGCCTTCGACAAACCTGAGCCAATACCAATGGCCAAAGCACACCCTGAAGGTGCTTACCGCTTGCTCGGATACACTCCGGAAGGCAGTGTTTGGATAGAGGATTCGAATCGAACTTGAAAAGCCATGAGAAAGTTCTAAAAATTGTCTTCCAGCCAGCTGGTCCTCTTACATCTTGGGTTTCGCAACCCTCCATCAATCTGCAGCTGAAACCCGGACCCTTGCCGCCCAAGAAACGTGAGGATATAGCCCACCAGAAAGAGCCCTCCGTATTCTTCACGAAGCTTGTCTTGAAGTGGTTCCCCCTCAATTGATGTACATCCATCCTTGGACCAGGTGCTTTTCTGGACTAAGGTTGCGAGCATATGGGCTTGATTGCCGGCACCTGTGATTTGATTTAGACAGTGTTTAACATTGTTTAACCAAATCATATGCAAAACCTGAGTCCTGATGCTGACAATGAGGATGATTGATGGTTGATAGACTCAAGCAAAAAACATAAATATGCGCACAAAATCTGAGAGTTTTTCACGTTCCCTACCAAACAAATGCCACACGAACACCGGCCACATACAATGTCAAGAATTAACAACAACTTCCTATCTATATATATATATATTATATATAACCCAGTACTCAGTAATGTTGCAGGAGTACCTTTCAAAACTGAACAAAATTCCATCACAAATTGAAGCAGATTGTAGTAGAACATGATGACATAATCAACAACAAAGCCATTCATTGCCACCTGGACTCACATGCATCACATACTTCGTAGTGTTCATCATACTCACAATCCATGCTTTGGGCTTGACAAAGGCTTATTGTGGGCCCCCCTCCAACCGCTGCTAGATTCAATACCCGCCAAAGTCTGGCAAGGTGAACCCCCCCCAAACACTCTATGCATGGAATATGTCTACATTGACCACTGGAACCGCCCCACTGTAGGTAAATGTGACATACATGGAGTGTCTGGGTAGTAATTCTGTCATGACGTCTAAGATTGACCTTACAAGGACGATGTTGACAGTGCCTGGAGCGTTGACACTTGAGGTTGTTGACAACCCCTTCCTTGCTTGGGGAACATCAGCAACTGCCAAATTCAAATCCACCTGCACAACTTCAAAGATTGAGAGACCACATCTGACAATAGGAGTAAATGAAAGCCCCGGGGGGTTCCCTCATTCATAACTAACCAACGAGCTTTTTGACAAGGACTGCACATGGCACATACGTTTGGACCCTGGAGTTGGGTGGCTTCCGGCAGCCGGAGACGGACGCTGATAGGTGGCGCTATTCTGACTGGCCCCTTTCCGCCCTGACGGAATGCAGGGCCAGTAGAAACATCCTGAACGAAGAAACCTTGACCTCCGCGACCAATCTCATCCTCTCACATCCTCTACCCCATGTGACAGGCGGCGGTGAAGCAGCGGAAATTGGTGAACATCGCTGCAGGCACCTCAGCGACCAGACTAGACCCATCTCGGGTCCGATTTTGGGTCCAATCCTTCGACCCTTGGTCCAATCCGAAATCCGGTGATCTTGGGCAGCCAAGAAGGACATTCCTGATCTCGGGTCATCGATATAAAAACGATAACTAGTTAGCTATATAGAAGCTACTAGTAACAAGGGCATCGCTACTAGTAACAAGGGCATCACTACCTCCTGCTATTCGGACCACATGGACCCACAAAAGCAGTGGATTGTAGAGGTGACAATGGCCATATCTTGCACGGGTGAATTCCCAGGGTCCATGTTAGTTAGCCTGCGGGGGTGTAGTTAATCTAAAGTCGTCGTCGTAGACTCCCGGGTATGAGATCTAGGGCCCTCTCAACTCCGAACCTTTCGGAGGGCCCGGAGTCGACTCCGGGTAGTCTCCGGTTTGGTAACCAGGGCTCCTGCTCGCCTCAGGGTTTGTTGATGAAGCCATGCAACGTGTTTAACGAGTCTGCCTTCCTGACTCCATGAAACTGGGTTCATGCAGGTTGTCGATATTCGATCGTAATCTCTTGTAATCACTACGCCAAAAGGTTTGCAAAGTAAAATTCAGATTATTCTACTGCATTGCATGGGAGTGGCTGCCCTTCACTTTTTATGTCAAGGTGATCAAACTTTGGGATGATCATGAATCATGACAACTGTAGCGGTTTTTTTGAAGCTGCTGACCAGTTAAACGAGCCGTCTCAGTACTGAGAGTTGGCTAAGCTGGCAAGGTGCAGTGCTGAACTCTATCCGGAAGTCCCCGAACAAGACTTTGGTGACCACACCTGGCGAGGGAGGGAGCAGGTGATTTCAGGTGTGGAACACAAACCTCGATTGAAGGCGATCCGATCCAAATGTAAGAGTGTAGTGTCCGGTACAGCATCGAATATCATCGAATAAACAGACCAGTGTCCAAAACTCTATGTGTCTTTTGGCTGTGCCATTTGGCAGGCAAGCAACGGGGAGCCCTATGCATAGTGACATAGTGGACGGTCGCAGGAGCCACCAAGGCGGTCGAACTCGTGGTGGTTAGTGCGAGTTCAAGTGCTCTGAGTTCATTGCGTGCAAGTTCCGAAGCCCCAAACGGAGTTTGTATGTTGTTAGTATCCATCCATTACAATGGTTACAATGCATTACTACCTCTCGCGCCAGAATGTCGCAGTGAAACGCGTCTGGCTTATGCATGACACACAGGTCAATGACATAAAGATGCATGTACAAAAAGAGGGTCCTCAGGACCAAAACATCAGAAATCGCACACAGGGATCTCCCATGATTCAAGTGTGCGTCCAGCACCTCTCGCTAGGAGACGGGCGATCAGAAGATACCCTTCCTCTGTAACAAATGGAATGGCATGGTCCAAACACCCTTGGGGTAGGACACGCCCACACGAACGCGGCCTTGTGGAATTAAAAGTCCCTGGGACTGCATCAGCAGCAGGATCCTTTGAAAGCAATTGGATTGCTTTCCGTATCAAGTTCGTCAGTTCTCGGAAGGTCAGCAGCTGCACGTCTGAATGAATGCGGTATCCACTGGCATGGAAAACTGCAGCGAGCTCACAGAATGAAAAGGAATACTCATTTCCTGTTTTCCATCGAAGTGACCGCAAAAAGGCGCAAATCTCCCTCCAGTCATCGTCAGAGGCCGGCCATGTGCGAGGACATGGGTGTGAGTGAGGAAGTCTCGGCTTCCAACAAAAACTGCCACTTGGTGTGCTCCAAAGCCAGTGAGAGTATCGAATCTTAGCGTGCTCAAGGGTCATCTCATCAGGAAGCTCTCTCACTTGAGACACAGGGGCACTATCGGGAGAGCGAGTTGGCAAAGACTCATGCAGCTTAACAAGCCATGCTTGGTGTTGAAGGATGGCATCCCGAATTTCCTGCTTCATGGCCGGATTGACCGGGGCGATCCGTGTGGCAAAGGCTTTTGCTGCACCGTCAACCAACCGGTTGTTAATGATGTGTTGGCTGTACGTGCCAATTCTTCGGTAAGCAATGGGATTGGTACTGCCTCCAGCCGATGGGCAGGGATCCAATCAATGTGAAAGGGACAGTGCCCACTTGCGCTGCGGCGAGTCACCAAATTGGATAGATGGACCCACCACTTCCAACATTTCCAAAGCGGGTCAGCCTTTGCACCTGCAAAAATTTTGGAAACCTGCTCAACCACTAATTTGCAATCGCTGTAGATGTGAAGGCCAGTTGCAGCCCTACTGCATGAATATACAACTGCCCACAACTCTGTGGCGTACGCCGAAAGTGACCAATGGTTGACTTGGCCTTTATGGATGATGTTGCGCTGACTATCCAGGACTGCAAAAGCCCCTGTAGCAAGCCACGTGTTCTCGCCAAACACAACCGAGCCATCCGTCCAGATTTCAGCTGTAATCTCAGCGTTGAATTCCTCAGGCACGACAATTGCGCTTGGGTCATTCTGAAGCAGTCGCCGTCTAGCAATAAAGGGCGGATGGTGGACGTGACCAAGAATACCAAAATTCGCACCCATTTCATGTACCATCGGAGCTCCAATAAGGCCACCGATTCGGGGGCAGTCGAATACCAGATGCGGCATGGATTCTTTCTCAAAGTCACAAAACCGACACTTCGGGGTGTCGCTCCACCCAGTGCTGGCCATGCGGTCGTTCGTAAGCGCACAGCCAACAACGACTGATTCAAATCGTTGGTGATTGGAGATGGCCTCAGTTGTGAGCACACGGTCGGAGCGAAATGTGGCTGATGTGAGTGCCAGGTCAAAAACATCGTTGGTCTTCGAAAAATCTTTCCGTGGAGTGGATCCAGCAAAATCATAACAGTCATTTCTAGCAATTGCCTGCAGTACTTTCCGTGCATCTTGAGGTGTGAGATCGTACAAAGGCACGGGGCAAGACCCTTTGAAGGAAAGTTTTAAACCTTGGTGTATTTGAATGCCCTACACATCACAGGCATGCTGAAACCGGCTACACAACGAGTGTGCAGGCCATACAGGATGCTCAAAAGTTTGCTCAAACTTCTGAAAAATCTTCGGGTCAGAATGGCATGCACGGATGGTCTCAAAGACCGTAGTGTAAGCACAGGCACAGCGAGGGTCAGTGCGATGCGGAGTAGCCAGAACTGCATGTAGGAGCCACTTGGACCTCCACTTGGGTCGCTTGCCCCACAAACACCGGGCAATCGCATTTTGGATGGTCTCAAGTTTAACTTTGGGAATTCTCGAAATGTGGGAACCAAAGGTAATTTTGGGAACAACTTTGGCTCCAATCAAATTGGTTTTCATCGACACAGGTAGGGCGGCAATGTGATCAATATCACACAAGATCTTTTTGAGGGAACCTTCCAAAAATCCAAAGTTCGCACGAGCAGATGTGTACATGCGAGTGCCAAGTGTTTCAAATTCCATGACGACAGGGAACTCGGGGAAGCGGCCAGCCAGGGCAGCTCGGCCTTGTCCGGTATTACTCCACATGCTTGACTTGCCAGTATTCAATCGCTGGCCTACAAGGGAATCCCATGTCTGAGTGACTTGGATGGCCTGCTGAAGCATGGCAACCGCCGCAAGACGGCACCATATATAGCTGTCATCAATATATGCTCTAACCACAAGACCAGGGAACAACTCAAGAAAGTGATACCATACTTTATTATAGGCATTCATAGCAAGAATTGAGAACGAACATCCCTGTGCCACACCGTTGGCGTGAGTGGTGGCACGTGGAGACGTCCAGTTTCTATACGCCATGTGCTTATGCAAGTTCTGGTATATAAGCAAGAAAACCCGGACCACATGCTTGGGGATTCCAAAAGCAACAAAAAGACACGCAGCAAATTGGGGGATAATCCTGTCGAAGGCTTTCGACTTGTCGAGTTTTACCCCCACGATGGTTTCGCCCGCTTGATTCGCGGCATCCAAATCAAGGCGCAAGTCATCATAGAGGGTGGCCATGTATCGCCCCTTCACTCCCCCGACGATCGCCGGTGGCATGGCAGCGATTTGCCACTCTTGGAGTTGTGCGTATCTAGTGCCAGTGTAGGCTAATAAGAGAGGGGGGAGAACGGTGATGAGTCGCTTTTTGATAGGTGACGCAGGACCGGCTTTGTTCAAGATAACTTGCTTGGCAACAGTGAGAGCTGTCGGAAGGGGGAGGTCAGACTCCTCAATCAACTGAAAGAAATCGGCCAAGACATTGAAACAAAACCTTGGGAGTGCCTGCAACTCACATGTTCTCCATCCATCAAGACCAGGAGCAGCAATGCTTTTCCTCTTCTGAATTGTTTGGAACAGCGCATCACCTGTGATAGGTGGGAGAATGGCTGCAACCTGTTTATCCTGAATGTAAGGCCAGATGGTCTCTAACATTTTTAACGGGTGCTCTGAAAGCACATTAGCAGCAAAAATGTCATCCCAAGCTTCATTTAGAGTTGCAATTGCCTTTTCAGGCTGAGTGATGATGTTACCGGCCTGATCCGAGACAAGGTTAGGGGGTTCGTCATTACTCTTATTACGCAAGTGCTGAAAAATGAAGCTGTATCCTTGCTTTTCTGAGTTCTTGATGCGAGTCTTCCATTATTTGATCCGGCTAAGACGGATCCGACCATCTAGGGTGACAGCATAGTTCTCGGCCCAAGTCCTAGCCCAAAAGAGATCAACCAAAGTGGGACGTTCAGGGAAGGCCCAACAAACAGGTGTTCTGAACTTGGAAAGGGCTCTGTGGGCTTTGATGGAAAGCTGTCTTGTGTTGAATTGGTCTTGCTCGCTACCCTGAGCACGAGACAAGCGGCACGAAAGCTCATTCAGTCTTCTGAGAAGCCGGAACAAATCGAGAGACACTTTGGTTGCTGCACGCCTGGTTTGCAGCTGTGACGGACAAATTTTCTTGGACCTAAAGCGTGGAGATTTGGCTCTTTCCCGAGGGCCGGATCCCCAATCCGCTCCCAACTCAAAAAGCGTGGACTGGAAGTATTGATTGATGATTTGCCACTTATCATCAACATCACTTGCATTCAGATATGCTTGTGCGAATCTATCCTGCCATGCATCAAAAATGGCTTGGTTCTCTCTTGGGGAAGGGACATGCGTGACATCAATTGGGGCGAACTTGTAATGAACGTAACCTTTTTGTTCCAAGACCGGCCAATCAAAAGTTATTTGAATAGGGCGATGTTGGCGGCCATGATGTTCAAGGACTTTGGCTTCTGTGATGGCACAAAAAGCAATCTTGTTTACAAGTATGCCATCAATAGATGTGCACCCTTCGTCGGCTCCGGAAAAAGAGCAATCTTTGGAGTACGTGTACGGTCGAACCGAAAACCCTTCTTCATCTGTTTCAAGGATGGGGTCAGCCCAGCCATGAATCTGGCAAGCACCTGAGATACTTGGGTAACTCATCGGATTGGCTTGGAAATCACCTGCCACCACGATGGGGATTTCCCCAAATTGGGCAGCCACCAAAAAGATGTTATCAAATAGTTGGTCGTTGGCAGCATGGATACTCGAATCACTAGATGCACCTGTGGTGGCGTACACACAAAAGAAGAGGCCTTTCAAAGCTGCAGTGATTTGGTACCACGCAGCAACTACACGTTTCGACTTGAAGAGATCTTTATACAACCCCGTTTGATCATGATGATCGCAAAAGGGCTCAATTGCGACACTGGAACCAAGGATTGCAGTCCCTCCACATGGCGTTTTGGTGGTTCCGTTTTGGTGCCATAACCCAGGGAGAAGGTCACCAAAAACCGGACGGAGTCCGAAAGCCTCAATGTTCTTCTGGGTGGTTTTGTGATTTGTT